TTCTTCTTCTTCTTCTTCTTCTTCTTCTTCTTCTTTTTCTTTTTCTTCTTCTTTTTCTTCTTCTTTTTCTTCTTCTTCTTCAAGAGTCAGAGCTGAAACAGATAGATATCGGCGATCATGATTAGACGCTCATATTTCTGCTCGGAAGCGCTAAAAATGAATCTGTATATCCCAAACGTTTCCTGTCAACTGTTTGTCTAGGATCGCAATGTACGTTAATCTTGGTCTACCTCTGCCTTTTTTCTTTACGTTTTTTTTTTACAGTGAAAGTAATACACTCAATGCCTTAATATAGATTCAAATATCCCGTGACCCGCATTATCTTTACCTTTTAATTGTTTTTGTTGACTGACTGTGTAACGCTAGCTTAAGCACTGCTTAATTTGATCTCTTTTCCTTCCAAAATATTCTCAATTGTCTCTTAAAAAACGACATTTTTGGTTGTTTTCACTAGAATCTATCTTTATGATGTCTCCAGCAGGGACCGCCAACTTGGTAATAGTCTAAACGTTACATCGATCTCTTATCAAAGAGGCTGCGGAACAAAAACGTTCTTTAGCTTCAATCAGTGATGCTACTAAACATAAGTATTTAACAATGTTAATAGATAGCATTTGTATAGCTCAAATCCCCGCTCAACAGCAAGCTCTATGAGCTTCACACTCTATTATATTATTACCCCAGCAGACCTGAGAACATTCTGAAACAACCTCAACTTCCTGGGAAGCATACAGAGTGAACATCAATTTTTTTATCGTTAAAGCCAATAAAACAACTTTCATGAAGCTCTCATCGATTATTTGTATAGTACATTGCATGCCTTAACCAAAGGTATGTTTACTGATTTGTCGCTTAGAGGCTTTTAAAGATATAAGGTTATGAAAGATCAAATTAAACATAACTTATGGTATACAGTGTGGATGATATGCATCTGTTCACACTATCAGGTGTTAAGAATCATACTTTCAAAAAAAGGTTTACTTGTTTCAAAAACACCCCCCCCCCTTTCAAAAATAATCTACTTCTTGTTTAGATTTTGGGAAAAGGGAGAGGGGGAGAGTGGAGCAAATACAAATAACGGTAGAGCAAATGAGACTTTTTCTTTGAAACGGATTAATTCGTTTTCAGCTTGAGTTCATGATAAATAACATGTTGAGTCTGTATACTGTTGTGTAAGCTCAAAGCAACAGGTTGAGTAGACTAAATGATAACTGATAATTTAGATATACACTATGTAGGACAGACGAACTGCGTTTGAAAAAACTGTTTACATCGAAAGGCTTTATAATTACCCTCATGTGTGAAGTTTACGGAAATTCACGGAATAATATTCCCACATGCAGGAGTTGAAAGGTGGTCTCTTCGAACTATAATAATGTAGTCTATCCCTTGCCGAAAGCCAACGCAGCATTCACAGAAACAGATATTCTAGAACGGCAGGAGTTGCTTCCTTACCTTTCCCAATATAGAAACGACAGGTAAACTAATCTACGGGAGACTTACCCAAATCTCGATCGTTGTTCAGCTGGGAATGGCATTTTCCAAGACCTGGTTCCGCTTGGTTAAGCAAGCGACAACTGTAGTGGGGGGCATTCGTAACACACAGCGAAAATCCAACGCCTGAGATCGATACACGGGTCGATCGATCGATGACCTTGATCAGCTCTGCTCGTCGACATGGACATTTGAAAGCGAGAAAATACATAATGTGCGGGTCTGAAAGTGTGGATATACTGGCGTATACGTTTCTAATTGTTTGAGAGAGAGAGAGAGAGAGAGAGAGAGAGAGAGAGAGAGAGAGAGAGAGAGAGAGAGAGAGAGATTATGAAAAAGAGAAAGAAACTCTGAGCTGTGGAGATAACACGAGACCGCAGAAAGTAGCGGAGACACATACTGTGAAAGGTGATTGCTCTGACGGCTACATCTATTATTCAATGCCCAACTCTGGGACATTGGGTCAGGTATTTTTAGCAGGTGGGAGGTCATTGAGAAGCAACGTTCCTGAGCATTTCTGGACACTGGTGGTACTGATATGGGCGTTACGCAATCGACAAAAACTCGGTCATTCTACAAGACCAAATTAGGAAAAATTTTAACAGTCAGGGTGGCTTTCGTGGTCTAGATGTTAAAGTGTTTGCCTCTCATTCAATAGGTCTTCGGTTCAAAACTGGACAGAGATGGAACATTTTCTTCTTTAAAATTTTCCATTTTCATATGTTCACATGTCGTCCTGCTCTCTAAATGTGTTCTGTCATTTGCGTTCGTCTCAACTTTTGGCCCCCCAACGCGTCCGCCCTTTGCCACCTCCTCTGATAAGAGAAGGCCTCGGCCGCCACCCGGGCAAGATTCAAAATTAATTTCTCCCCAACTGAAAAATATGTTTAATGTGTCTGGCGCGCTCACATGATCTTATGTAGTTGCGAGCACTGTAAAACACTTACCAGAAAACAAACAAACAAGAAGAAACCACAACCCAAATCAGGCATGGGCGAGCCTGTGCACACCGCGGGCCAGATGAAGCGATTCCAAATTTCGTCTACAAAAAATAGGAGGAGACAATTTGGCGAACTCGGTTAATTTGCCCCAGCTTTCAAAAGTGAGACTACAACTGGTATGATAGCATAATAATATTAATTTAACGTCATTCAATGGTTTTTCATGATAATATAGAATAAAAATTATTGTCAAATCTGTCTGCAACTATCGAACTTAAAGTCTCCAGTTTTTGTGCAATGAATTGTATCAACTTGTCTGAACAGATCAATATTTTTGTAAACACTTGTTAGCTGTATTTTAGAAAATTCCTTGATAACTTCGTGGGTGGTTTCTGCAGATTTTAAAAGGTTTACACCTCGGACAACATCTCCGAAGCAAGTCCTTCTAATCGCTACATTTTGCTTTTTGAACGCATCTTTTGAGAGCCTTTAGTCCAACAAAAAAGTGTGATTCTTAAAATAAATTTCCACTAACAGGTTTTGCTAATAAAAAGTGTCACTGGTGAGTTGTGATGTAGGCCAATTATGCGTATTATGCAAAATGTGTGTGATGAGCGAGAAGTGTTGTGAACAATTAATTCCAATTTTTTCATCACGGAGATTTATAGTGTTTTATATACTTTTATGAAGCAAATTTCTTTGATCTAGCCTCAATCGATATGGAAACATAATGATTAAGTGGAAACAAATTGATACAATCTGCTGTGCAAAGCATCAGTGACATTGATATACCCGTTAAAAAGATAAGCCCCACGAATTTTGATCTCACTATAAGCGTTCTGTAGCTTTGACACTAATAAAATCTAAGTACGATGGGTTTTTTCTCGTTTTTTTTTCTTCTTTTTCCCCATATTATGTTACTTTGCTGCTTAAGGGGGGAGTCATGTTAAAAAAAAAATTCGACCGCGCTCATATTGTGACCGTATGCAGTCCGAGCTCCGCAAAACACTTACAATAATTGTTTAAATATATTTTAAAGATTCGGTTCTTTTTCACATTGCACTTTTGACACAAAGCATTATTCCAGTGCAACACCAAATCCTATCGGTTGAATTCCTAAAACGTTAGCACCTCCATTGTCGTAAAATAGACCTTCCAAGTCCGTGATCACATGCTACGCGAAAGGGCACACTCAAACCTTTTGTGTTTCGGTGGCCTAGTGGTTAGGTTCTCGGACTCGCAACCTTAAGGTTGTGAGTTCGAATCCCGTCAGGGACCCGATGTTGTGTCCTTGGGAAAGGCACTTTGCACAAATTTTCCTCACTTCACCCAGGTGGAAATGGGTACCCGGCTATAGACAGAGAACGATATTGTCAGTTTGATACTGTTTGAGCGCGTGAAATCCGCAGCTTGCACTGTATGCTTCCGAGGAAGCCGAGAATTTTTCTGGGTATTCTCAGAGGGTCTTCTGGGGTAATAATAGTTGTAAATCTGATAGAGCATGCTCTTGAGCATGGATATGCGCTATAGAAATGTAATTATCATTATTATTAATGATAAGGGAAGTAATCGCTCACCTAAAAGTCCAGTCAAGTTTATCTTAATTGTTTCCCCTAACTAATTTTTAAACGCTGCAGGGAAGAAGTTAGTCGAACCGTGGATCTTTCTGCAATCTTTCGGCCATCTTTTTTTTCTCTAAAAATTGTAGCGTTACAGAGAATAGCGTATATTGTAATACGACAAGAAAATACAAAACGTTTACGAAACCCTATTTGCCAATCTCAGAGCTTCTCCGTGTGACAGACAGTCTAATGAGAAACTATGCTTTATGAGCCTGTCAATACGAAATCTTCCCAAATAATGAGAGACCTAATACAGATATAACTATTGCGTGTAATGTGTTAACGAATATAGACAAATCAATTCGGTTGCATCCCCTTCAGGTACTCAGACGACCAAATTAAATCACCTCGCTGAAGGTAGACCTTGTATATTGTTGTTCATAAAAGGCTGAGTGCAATCGGTCGTGTGGGTCTACTATTTACTGCAAAATAATTTCTCGTTATTTGCCCATCTTATCTTGTCCTTTTCTTCTTTCCCGAATAGCAGACATACATAAGAAGGAATGAAAGAAGAAAAAAAGGAACAAATGCTCCGCCTCGCCAAATACACACAGTTAAGAAAACAAACAATAGTAATTCATAGATCCACAAAACACTAATAGAGACGGGCAAGTGCAGCACCCCCCCCCCAACCCCACTCCAATCCACGCGTCTTCTTTTAAAGGAGGCTTAACAAATCGAAATATCTATATCATAAAGGCTCTTACATATTATGTTATGAATGACGCAAGTGCATACGACCACACATACATAAACACACACGCCCACACACAAAAACACACACACACACACAAACATACTGTCACACACAAACACACACACACACACACACACGTTCATACACACACGTAAACACACACATACACACATACACACACACACACACACACATACACACACACACACACACACACACACACACACACACGCAGACG